GATTAGGGGGTTCCATATAATTGGACAAGGGGTTGAGTAACTCGACTGTGAACAAAAGAAGCACAAAAAACATGCCACCTGCCCTAGATAGAAACCCCATTTCGATCCCAGTTTGTACGTGCCCTCATATGCATGGCTGATTCACCGATAAGATTTCTACGATCGTACAATGTGGCGATTATCATGTTTTCGTCCTGCAATCTCATTTTTCACTGGAAGTCGGTCATTAGGGGCGGAGTCTGGAGGCGGAGTCACTGGAAAAAAGGAGGAGCCACTGAACCTATATTGCGCTACAGCGCCCCTCCCATAGAATTTTTTGCCGCAACCGGTACAAGGTTGTTCGTCGCGGACCACTCTAACCTCCTGACGCCATATTTTCAACTTCGATACCTGATCGCGGACCGTGCCTTAAGCCGCATTGCGGTGATTCCAACTATACGCATATACACACGTCTTTGCTCCTCTTCCGTCTGGACTCTCGCAGCCGTCGACTTGCTCGAAGCTACCTACGCGGGAACGCCCCTCTCTGTCATAATGGTCAGATATGAATTGTATGATGACTGATGATACTGAGCGAAACTATCTAGAACTCACTTCCCTATGTAATTCAGTCCAATGATAGCCAAGTTTTAAATCAGTGCGTATTTTCCTTACGACTTTCTTCATCTAAAAATGCAGTAGGGCAAATACCGTATTTCGGGGGTGGAGGAGGGGAGTGGTCGAAAAGCAGTGGCATGAAACAATCCTTACCTTCACTCTCCTACGGAACATGGGCTCATTTTGAGTATATGTCCATGCAGCATTTATCCACTTTCTGTCGATAGGCCGTAGGCGTACGAAATTTGCTGAACAACTATTGTCAGTTGAAGTCTCACTACTTCGAAGAACCAGGTTGGTCGCAAGCAAATGGTGGAGGCGAGCGCACTGGGAAACTTAAAGGTACGGTCCGCGATCAGGTATAAAGTTGAAAATATGGCGTCAGGAGGGTAGTGTGGCCCGCGACGAACAACCTTGTACCGGTTTCGCGCAAAAAATTGTAAGGGAGGGGCGCTATAGCGCAATAGGTTCAGTGACGCCTCCTTTTTTCCAGTGACTCCGCCTCCAGACTCCGCCTTCAAGGCCCGCCTTTCCAGTGAAAACGAAGCTGAAATTGTGGAAAATCGTTACTTGCACGGTCGTTGAGGTTCTTACCGAGCGAAACCAGTTGTGCGGATTGAGGCCGTAAATGTGGAGATGGCTGCTGAGTGCGGCACGTAACAAACAGGGATACGAAGGCGGTTAACATCCAGGCAGTTGGCATGTTTTTCTACTTTTTCCTTCACTATCGAGTGACTCAGAATCTTGTCGTCAATGTGCGAACTCCTAGTCCACTATCTGTGATGGCAAATGATCGCCGGTTGTGCCTCTTAACTCCTGTCTGCTTGTAAACAAATGAGAAACTTCTCAAACTCACCGAGTTTCTCCCGATCGGTCTCTTCGATGAGTGTGGAAAGTTCGTATGACGTGTCCGATGGATGGGTCGAATAGGACGAAGTTGAAGATGACTCGGTGAACTCCTCGTCATCTGAAATGATCTTTGCATATCATCAGTGCGGCGCAAGGCAGGAAAAAGAATCGGGACATTATGAGCCTGGTTTATCCGCGAGGCAAGCGCGACCAATGAGTTCGTGCTTAGGCACTGCTCACGGTTGGTAATTGTGGAATTCTCAAGCTCTCACGGTGAAATGGTCAGGAGACCTGATTTGCGCCGTTGCGGCGAAGGCTGCGTGCAGATAGTGTCGCGCGACAGACGTATGCTGTGGGACCGGAGCGAAGATGAATCATCACGTCCCCGAGCGCAGGTGACCTGGCCTTTGGCGTCCCCGCAACTGGTGTGTTCTAGCTTGCAAGTGTTTGGATGTACAGCAATTTGTAGATACTGCCCTCTTTACAAGTTCAGAGTCCGCAATTACGCAGCCTCTCCCAACCAATACACATCCAATTTATCGCGGATTCTGCTATGGCGCAAACTATGTACACTACCTGTCTGAACCCGAGATCTCGGATGTGTGCTGTTAGATGGAAGAGGAAATATAACAAGAATTTCGGGCGCTAAGGTTGCGGAGACGGCAGTGGGCGAGACCTGGCCGTATCCGTTTCTCTGTACATAAGTGTCCACTTGGAAAAATAGTGTTCGGTGAGTTTGACTCCCTGCCTTTGCTACTCGTCTGGCGACGGTGAGGGCGCAGACGAGCAGCAAATGTTCTACTGCCCCTCCTTTTCAATCACCTTAGGATAGGACTACTGTATCTGGTCATTATTTCATAGCCACCTCACTTGGTATTATGTAAGAATCACTGCCATGTACTCGCTAACACCTATGCACTTGGGAGGAGGGTTGGAGAGGAGGGGGAAGGGGGAGGGGGTGGGGTTGAATCAAGGTCTGTGAGTACTAAATGCGAGTGTGAGTGTAGTCCTTTCCCTCTTCTTGATCACTCTTACCTTGGAAGAGCACAGTTGACCAGACAGGGCCCAGCACCGTGATGTGTGAAATGGTAGTGTATGTACGACACACCTCTTAGAGGGAATGGTGTAAGACGACCACCCTGCTCCCCACCTAAATGAGGGCCTCGGTACGACCCGCCACCCCCCCCCCCTCTTCCCCAACACCTACCTACCAATCTTCCCACACTTTCCAGTTTTTTCACCCAGAAGCTCTTCGTCGAGGGGGAGGAGGGAGGGGAGGTATATAGTACATATACGACCCCTCTCGCAACAGCGACCAATTGCGACCACCTCCGCGCAGCGGGAAAGCACGACCGCTCCCCTTCTCCTCCCCCCCCCCTATATGTAGTTCACATCATTGCGGACCGGTGGGGCGTGTCAGTGCGGCTGCGTTTGGCGCGGTGCCAAAGTCGTTCTGCACCAGTTGTTGAAGCGGGCAAGTGACATTACTGTATTATATCCTTCGTATTACTCGTTTTCTACCACTTTTTGTCGCATACGCGTTTCAACAAAAAGGCTGAGAACGGCTTCAACAGTGTGCACACTCATACTGGCTGACACGCCCCACCGGTCCGCAATGATGAGGACTGTACCCTGTGATCAGAGTTCTTATCACAGCACATCTTGGCCGCGTATATGAGCTAGCAGTTTTGCCGCGGGTGTGACTGTAGCGCGTGGAAGAGGGTACTTTGTCGTACTAAATACGTTCCCTGGTCCGTACACCTTCGTTTCGGGCGCGTAGCAGAGGGCTCTATCATGCTGCCATGTGGCCCCTTCAAGTGGGACAGCGCTCTGTAGCCGTCGTTTCTAGGAGTGGAGCGACTTTTAGGAAGTGATACACACCTTCAGACGATTCTCCTTCGCCATCAGCGCTGTCATCTGTTTCTCGCGAGAAAGAACTGAGATCACTACTTGACAGATCAGTCGCACCCGTCAGACCGGAGTAGTACGACGACAACTCGGAGAATGCCCTAAATCGATATCAGAATCAAGAAAACTTCATGACCACACTCCGGCCCGCACCCGTATTTCGTGCACTTCAAAACGCATCCATGCACCTATGAGACCGCGTTCATACTTCGCGACTAAGGCGATTCTCGCGCGACAACGATCGATCGCTCTCCCCCGTGAGCCATTGGGCCTGTGCGACCTCTAAATTAGATTCACGAAAGGGCTCCGTCTGTTCAATTCAGCCGTTTGTCGATTGAAGATGAAGTGCGATCGGCCGCAGTAGCGCACGCTAGAAAACGCACGTAAAGCATGAACGTGGCCAAAGTCGTCGCTCGGCGCTAACATTTTTGGGGAGGGGCGCTAGGCTACATCTCTTTCCCTTACCTTACGAGTCACTTAAAGATAGTCTCGCAGAGAAAAAAATGGTCATCATCTCCTGCAAGCTTGAGCCTTAGTTTGGAAATGGACACAAAGATGCTGTCGAATGATATCCCACCCCCCCCCCCTACGCTAACAAGTTCGGCGACACCGCCGATCGCTCGGATACGCTGCGCTCAGAATTCACGATGACGCGCTACCACGCGCGGCGTAGCGCGTCGACGCACGTCACCTCGAAGCCTGAACGCTGCCTAACGCAATTCAAGCTACCCGTTATTAGCGATGAAGCACTTTTGTGATGGAAGCGACCAAGTAGTGAAAAAGAACTGACTTCTGGCCTATCCAATGAAAGCACATCGTGAGTTATCTTGTGAGTTATCTTGAACTTACCTTTGTAAAACATCTGACTCGCCATAGGAACACTGAAATCAAAGAGAATTACAATCTTATTTGCAGCGAATGTTAGGGCGTGCCAGAGAGCTGGCTTTGACGCCGCGCCAGCCCGTTTTTCACCAACTGTGGTCACTTGCCAGCTTCCACAGTGAGTGGAGGACGGGCTGGCGTCGCGCCAAACCCGCACCCTGACACGACCCTGCATCAGCAGCGGACAAGACTGTACCAAGGTTCTGTGTTTATATTGTCAGTATAGGACAGAAGTCACAGAATCTCCGCGAATCTTCACTGCTGCTCTCCAGCAACGGTCGAGTCATGCTTCTTCTGGTGGTAACAAACTAAACAATGAAGCACACCAAGGCATTCAACGCCGCTGATTACAGCTCATTGGTCTAAGAATGAGTGCGAACATATTCTAACAAGTAATGCAGAACCATTTTCATTGTATGGCTCGATACGTATTCCCATGCCACTACGCAGTCGCTCGCAAACGAGGGCCTCTCACTTCTAGAACGGCAGGATCAGACAGCATAGGGCCAATTTGCAGCTTAGCTTGTGCCAAAGTAGAGAACAGGAAAGTTCGCGAAAAGACAGAAGGAATGGGTGACGTTCCTCAATTCTGTGAATACATCTCCGAAAATACAATTCCATGAATTCTCCCGATTTTCGAAAATAGGGCGGAGCGATAGATGTCTCCCATCCTTGTCGAGGATTCCCTGATTTTTGGGGCGTTTTGAGCCATGAATGCAGCTCAAGATAGTGTCGTACTGATATTTAGGACTCCAAAGGTTAAAAATTTCGCCTTCAACATGCAAAGCACGCCATGATGAAGAAACCATTTGCCATTAAAAGATCCCTTATCCGAGCGGAATCTTCACTTTGAAATAAAGTGGACCAGCACGACCGCGATGCGCGACCGCACGCGTCTAACAGAAATTTGTTTTCGAAATCACTGAATTTGGATTGTGTTTTTTTTGTTTCGCTTGTTCGTTATTGAATGGCTGATTTTACCATATTTAACTTTCATTTCTATCCCAAAGTTTGTAATGTTTCATCGATGAGATCTGTCTGCTTTCCCATACCCACAACATTGAAAAAACAATCAGCATTTTACTGATTGGACTCGATTTTCTGTTCTCCCTCGCACTGAACATTGCTTGAGTTTTTTGGACCATAACGTTTTTTACAACGGTTCATTTGATGGCTATGAACTTGCGTTTTTGAGCGATCTTATTGGGGCGGAAATTCTTTTTCAGCGCCTGTGCCATTCGTCGCTTGCAACCGAGCTCCCATGTAAGGCCAGACTTCAGCCCGCTTGGTTTTGAACCAAAATATCTGGGGTTATTTCATATTTGTGGTCAGTGCGCTGAAGTACGTGGATTCGCAAAGAGTGTGGAATTTTTGTGGCGGCAGTTGGCGCATGAGCTAAAACGTTTGTCATTTTCGTAACGTAGAATTTCGCCAAAAAGTTGACGTTTTGAGTCCCAAATTGTGTAATAGCGCCAATCACTTTCTCATCTGAAGCTGTTTTTGTATTATGAAAATTACTCGCTACGATCACACTGGGCAAACTAATGTTCAAGATTCTTTTGAAGACCAAGCTATCGGTGGTATGGATCGGGCACCCAAACACTCGTACCTCAAACTTGGGTAATTAAACCTTTATCTGATATGATGACTAAATACACAATAAGTAAAAGATAAATAGGCATATATAAGTGAATATGTACAAGATGAGCGAAAGAGGAGAGCCAGCAAATGTTTTCTTCTTTGATCGTCCTTCCTTATATCTGCCGACACTCGATGTTTATACAGTATGATCGTAACACGCGTAGTCATCAGACACAACATCTTTGCGGCATGGGAATACGCGTATCTGCAACATTTCTTTTAGACTGATCGTAATCGTGAATCAACACTAAAAAAGTTCATAAAGGTTACGTTACATTTAGGTTGACGTTTGTCGACATATTAAGACTGGCAGTGTTTGGAGGTGACTGCCTATGGTATTTCTCCAGTCAGGCTGCGA